TATACTAAAACCTATTATGTATTTAATTTACAATTAGAAAAATATTGGAACCAGAGTTTTAATTTGAACTGCTATGGAGATACTACAAAATACTATGAAAAAATTATCAAAATTAAACTGAAAAAGCAAATAGGTTTCAAGTTGCGTTGTGTGTTGCATATTAATGAATGGAATATGTTGGCAACACTGAATTAGTTATTTGTCGTTTCAAAAAATACATCAGCTATCAACCATCGCATTTACAAGTATCATAACTTATAAAAATTTAGATGAACTATCTGCAATCGTTTGTTAAGAGCTGCTTAACCTCCCGCGGTTTTTCATCTTCTGCGTGGGTCGGCCTCTGGCAGCGATGGGTTGTCGTCACTGGTGGGGCAGCGTCTCGAAGGTCTCCGAGTCCGGACTCCCGTACCCGCTGGAGCCGTCGTCCCGGTGGTTGACTACGCTAATGGGCTGCCGCAGTGGGCCTTGGGGCGCCATGTCCGAATTCTTCTCGCTGTAACAGGACGGGCTGTTCACAATTCTACCCTCACCGACTGCGGTTAGGTTGTCTCCTGCCTGCTGAAAGAGATCAACCAACCTCATTTCAGATTGACTTTCGTCTTTATGTAAAATAGTATGGGATTATTAGGTTTTCTTTAATGATTTTGGTCTCTTATCGTATAAATAGGTAGCTGCTTATAAATCATCAATAATAGCGTAATCGAACACCCTACAGTCTCTTGCGGTTGATTTAAAGTAAAAAAAAACAAAAGAGCATAGACATCATACACCTGTAAAAATAAATTGGTTTGAATTAAAGTTCATTTGAGCTTTACCTACTTGGTACATGGACGACGGCAAGTTTTCCATAGAGGTAATGATAAAACAAAGAAACACATTACTAAAATTACTAGAATTTGGCACAAAAACTGATTTCTTGCCTTTGATAACACAGACCCACAAAAAAGCGGTTTGTATTGGAAACTAAACCACCTTTAAAAGTATTTTGAACGAATGCACATATGAATCTGTGTGTTTTTACTGATGCGTCCTGATTTTCCCTTAACCTCAAAAACTTAGCTGTAAATCGCGATGAAATAGCTTGTTTTGGGTTAAAAACATGGTGACAAGTTTGGAATGGACCTAAAAATCTTGCTTTTGTTTGCTTCAAATCTTCAACTATCAATAGCACTTTTTGCATGTGTTCTTTACTCTTACAATTACATAAGAAGCTTTCAATAACCCATTGAAACATAAAGTCAAAGTGCTCATTCTTTATTAAGTCATTTTTGAAACATCGTCAGTTTCGCATATGGGTGATCTGTGGGAATTTATTCAAAGCATTTTCCGTCTTCATGCAGAACATTCACAAATTGCTTTATAATTTCAAGTTAAACAAGTTAGAAGCATTACCTAGGGTCCACCACTGGTTCTCCAATGATGTTACCTATAACTCATTTTTGACTTTTATAGTGATAGACATGATCCCAATTGTATTATAAGGTGTTTTAATGAATTCTGATTGTAGTTCCAAAGTCACCTTCTTGAATGAAGAAAGAAAATCGTTCTTATAGATAATCGATGTAAAATTCATAGACCACAAATTAGAACAAAGCCGGAGCTATATTTCAACAATGACTCACAGGAAGGATAGACAGCATAGCTTTAGCTTTCAGCTGTTGTTGAAAATTTCTTATGTATGTCACAAGAGTAAAGACTCTAAAGAAGTAGAATCTGGTATGAACAAAAAATTTCGCAGAATGGGAGGCTTGATGGACTTGCATTTCCAAATATTAAAGAAATGGAGCATATACCATTAAGTACATGATGACCAACTACTGTTAGACTGTAAAAAAGGAGGATCATGGGAGATAAGTACAACGCATTTCAGTTTGATCATAGTGAGTCAAAAAATATTAACGTATAACCTCTTCAAACGTACTGACGTCCCATATTATTCTTCATTAAAGGAAAATGATTGTTTTTAAGTGATTTTTCTTATTTCCTAAATTAAAATCAGTGCTGAAAAAACGCCGTTTTCAGACTATTGATGACATCATAGCAAATTCGTCACAAATTTTAAGGGCCATTTCAAATTAAGCTATCCAGGACTGTTTCGGGAAATGGAAATACCACTAGGAAACGTGTGTGAATAAGGGAGGTGAGTAGGTACTTTGAAGGAGACCAAGGACTAATAATGCATACAATTAATAATAAAATTAAAAAAAATAAAGTTCGGTTACTTTCCGAACAGACTTCGCATAAGCTCTGGATACTCTTCATTGAAATATGATACGAGGATTATGAGCCTTATACATTTTTTATTAGTGTTGACCTATTTTTTATTTTTTACCACTGTATCAAAAGAATTCAAAATATATATTTATCGGTTGTGCAAATTTTCGCACAAACAATGCACTTTATGCGGTAATAAAAGTTATTTGCCATTGCTGGGCATAATCGTGAAAGACGATTACATTTAATTGGCAATTAGGAGAAAGCAAAAGTTAATGTGAAGTTTTAAATACTCCCGTGCCCTCGTACGGTCATAAAGTAATATTTGTTATATTTTAAAAGCCCGTATAAGGCTAAGAGCTTCATTCAGCTGCTTTTAGCTTTCAAACAAACCACTTTACTGAAACTGAAAACATCGCTCGAGTCCATTTATTCAAAAGCATTTAATGATTCGCATTTATCGTTACAATGGCTTAATTTTTTAGTATGACTTTTGATTTATGCATTCTTTTAAAATGGATTTTAAAAGCTGCTTTTCAGCGGAAGCTGCTGCCGAGAATTACGTCACACGTTGAATATAATATGATAATTTTCCGTGATTTCTTTTATTTTTATTTTGAATACTCACAAACCGACAGATGCATTCCAGTCTTTAAAAAAAAATCAACAATTCCTACATTTTACTCAGATAAGTTGAGATAAGTCGGACTATTTCAAAACTGCAGTATGTACAGAAAATAACACAACGCGTCAAAAATGAATGAGTATTTGCCTCACCCAAATTAAACAATATTTCCTTATACAGGGTGTCCCTGAAATGCATGTACCACTAGGGCGCTTTACGTTAATTTACCTAATTGCAAAATTGCACCGTAAGGATGCTAGGGCGTCAAAGATTTTGAAAAAAACATCAACAATCATTTATAAAACGGAAAAACGTTGAACGATTAAAATGAAATTTGGTATGTGAAAGTATATTGGTAAAAGGCTTTTCCTGATGCAATTAATGTTAATTACCGACTTGCACAAATGCCTTAAACTGGATACCTCAGTTAAAAAAATATTCTTATTTTTTTCATGTATTATCTGATTGTCACAATTTTTTAATTATCATTATTTTTTCTGGTGAAAGCTAAAACTTTTTTAAATAAATTCTGTTTTTTCCAAAATTTTGATAAATACATCAAACTGGAAATATAATTTGTTGCATCTTAAAAGTAATCTAGTATTCCGTCACCCCTATCAGTCCAACTTTCTCGAACTTATGCTAACATGTGTCGAAGAAATGTGTCTTAGTAATTCTGTATTTACGCAAAAATAGGGAATAACAACGTTCAACATTTTGGTAGAGCCGATCATACCTGTAAGTTACTGACTTGCCTTCTGATATGGGCTAAACTGCTAGGATTGTATGCCATATTCGCAAAAACTAGTCTTTCCTCATAGTCGTATTCACAAAGTATTTTATTTTCACAAAGGTAGAACCTGTCACCAACACAGAACCTGCAAGCAAGAAAATGATTATTATTGCAATATATTTTTTATACTGGGAAGCACCTTCATTACTAATTAAATCTAATTATATATTAAAAAATATTGCCTATTACCAGAATTATGTGAAATTATAGAAAAATGTATAGTTACAAATAAATATTTTACATTGTCATAGCTATTGATTAAAAACTGGTAATCATCTTACCTGTGATTACATTGGTGACATGCAAAACATTCTAAGTGGTAAACATTATTTTTTGCCCTCATTACCATCTCAAAGGCAGGGATGACTTTGTTACAAGCTGCACAATATCCTGTTGTACCAAACAATCTGGAAGAAATTTTTTTCGTAATTTAAATTTCCATTTTAATATATCTACAGAGAAACAATAATATTATGTGTCAGAAAAGAAATACATATACTTTTGGAAAAGTTATTACTCCTCGTATAATATTTATTTATTAAATAAGCAAGTTAGAGTAAATAAATATGAAATTCTTCTAATGTGATGTAATGCATTTCCATACATCCAAAAATGGGATAAAATCTAATACGAACTGTTAAATTAAAATGGTTCATTTGCATAAACTGTACTTAGAAATATAACAGCGCAACTTCTTTTGTATTCTGAACATTGCTTTTAACTGGTTTAGAAGTATATCTATCTTTAGAAAAAAATATGTTCTTCAATTGCATTGTTACTGTCTTTTTATATACTGGGTGTAACGTAAAGGTTGGGAATAAATTAAACGGTGGATTATTTGGTTTAAAAAATAATTTTTTCTCATATGAAATTATGCTCTACGGGTTTTCTTTTCCAAGCTACAGGGCGCTAAAAAGTTTCAAAAAATTTAGTTTTTCTCCAATAACTCGAACATTATAAGATAATGGAACAAAATTTTAGCCTTATTATTATTTTAGGCTTATTTTGATAATCCCCTAGTAACAGGAAAAAGATTGACTTTGTAAGTTACTCAGTGGCGCGCGTACAGATTGTACCATAAGGTTTTTCGAAGAAAATTGTGGTACGCCACTGGTAAAAACATTTTTTTAATATTTTTTTATGATCTACTTTTTATTTTAAACAAAATTACCTTCTTGCGTTTTATTTCTAGTTCTTGTGATTTTTCTGTAAATAAAACTTTTGTAAATACCATTTTTTCCCACTGCTAACAGAGGAATATAAAAATAACAAAAGCATTATGAAGTACGCTTTGACTCAGCCACCGAACATTGTCAAATAGGCATTGAAAAAAGATTTTTGCATTGAAAATGATATTAAAAAACTAAATTTTTTGAATTTTTTTAGCACCCTGTAGCTTGGAAAAGAAAATCCGTAGAGCATAATTTTATATGACAAATATTTATTTTTTAAAATAAAAAATCCACTGTTTAATTTATTCCCAAACTTTATGTTACACATATTTTGAACTTAGACAAATTTATTTTTTGATTTTTCGGAAAATTTAATACACATACACACCACTGCTTTTTTATAAGTTTAATATTTTCAGATTGAGCAATTAAAAATAAAAA